GTGAGGTTGCTTTAGATTTAATGGGCAAACTATTTATTGCTAGTTGATGTATTTAAGATCAAAACATTGCTGGTTGCTGTGTTATTCCTCAAGTTGCATTGGAATTTTTTTTTATCAATAGTAATGATAGGTTTAATTGCATTAATAATGATAATGATAGTAATAGAATAGAGTGAAATGAAATGATTATGGTGATAATGAAAAGGATGCTGACAATAGGAGTAATAATGAAAAGATAAATTAATAATACTCAAAATAACATCAGTGATAATGATAATATTAATGATAATAGTAACACCAATAATGATTATAATAATAAGAATGATGATGATGGTGAGTGATGATGATAATGATAATGATATTACTACAAATGTTAGTAATAGTAATAATTGTTCTAATAATAATAGTAATATTGATGGTGATGGTATTGATGATAATGATAATAATAAAGATAATAATAATAACAATAATGATGATGCTAATAGTAATAACAGTGACGATGTAACAGTTAAGGAAGATAGTGATGATTTGTAATGATAATGATGATAATAGAAAAGAAAAAAAAAAGTAATAACAATAATAATAAGAATCATCCTTCCCTCTCCCTCCCCCATTACCCCCCCCCCCCCCCCCGCTTAGATGCTCACTCCCTAATGGCACAACAACGTCCTCCTCGGGATCCCTCTCCTCCCGACATTCTTTCCGATATTCCCCCCCCTTCCCCTTTTCCCTTATGTCATTCACAGGATTCTTTTCCTACTTCTACAACTATTGTTTTTCTTTTCTTCATTACCTTTTGATTGTTTCATAATAGCTCTTTTGTAATTTCTTCATGCAGTGTTACTTTCCCTCCCTCAGATACATAAGTTTTATCTGATTTCCCTTCATCTTTTCCCTATATCTTTAGCCACTTCTCTCTTACACTTACTCTCTCTCTCTACTCTTTTTGCTCTCTGTCCTGCAACATTCTCTGCAACCTCTGACATCTGACACATCTTGTCTTGATCATTTGCTCATTTCCACTTTTTTTTTCATCACAGGACTTTACAATAGTGTTATATGACCTTCATTTCTTCTAACCATTAATCATTAACCATTAACCATTAATAAAGATAACATAATAATAATTGTAATAATAATAATAATAATAATAATAATAATAATAATAATAATAATAATAATAATAATATTGATGATGATGATATGATGATGATGATGATGATGATGATGATGATGATGATGATGATGATAATGACAACAGTAATAGATATAATGTAACAAGGAAGAAATATATAGTAATAATAACAGTAGGAAATTAAGGAAGATGGTGATGATTTCAGTGATACTAATGATAAAGAGGATGATGATGTAGTACTAAAAAGATAATGATTATAAATTATGGTAATAATAATGATGATCATCATAATAATGATAATGAAAGTAATAATAATGGCAATAATAAGAATATGAATAAGAATAACAGAAATAATGATGATAATACTTATAGTAATAATAATGATAATAATGATAATATTTAAGTAATGCTAATGGTGATAATTATAATGATGATGATAATAATAGTAACGATAATGATACTAATAGTAAAAATAAGAGTTATAGTAAATGTTTAAGAATGTGCTAACTCCACATCTTAAACCAACACTATCTCTGTGAATGGTCAGGGTAAGATTTTTTGTTTCTCTTATCAATTTTATCATATCTGAGGCCAGAATGTTTTAGATTGAAGCTTGATAAGGAATTTAAGTATTTAATATGAAACGTTAATACTGTTGAGCTTATGGTATTATGACTATAAAGCTCAAAGTAAGAAAAGAAAGTTTATATGTGTGTGTTTGTGGATTCATGTTTATTTGTTTGGATATGAATGAGAACAAGTTATTTGTCTTGTTTTCTTGATTTTATCCTTTGCTGTCATTCATCCCAGTCCCAAAACTTGTCCTGAATGAACCTTGTGCAGTAATGTGCACGTCTTTTGTATATATCTGTGTGTGTGTGTGTGTGTGTGTGTATGTATGTATGTATGTATGTATGTATGTGTGTGTGTGTGTGTGTGTGTGTGTGTGTGTGTGTGTGTGTGTGTGTGTGTGTGTGTGTGTGTGTGTGTGTGTGTGTGTGTGTGTGTGTGTATAGCATACATGTAATGCACTGTGTATGTGTTTTCATTAGTTTCTACTTTTACTCTCTCATATTTCCTTACTAGTTTTTAAGAATATTTTTTTCCCTGTTCTATTAAACAGAATTAGATATATTGATTTAGTTGTACATTACCACTTAGTAAAACAGACTACTTAAGCAGCCAGTTTGGTTCATATTATTGCCATTCTATTCTAGGGAAGTTTACAAACTCAATATTATCTTCTTTATGTTGACATTGACTAAATATCTTTTGAAGGTCATAGCTCAGTGATGTTCTACGACTCATGGGCAAGTATTTTTTGCTCCTGCCTTATATCTAATTTGCACATTTATCAGTTTATTA